TCTCGTTCCCAAGTAGGACAGTGCCGAACTCAGAATGATTCACACGTCCGCTCCCTGGCTGTTCACCCGGTTAACCACCCCCATAGTGGGGTTCCTCCACAGGAGGGGTGTCCGGTACTTCGCGTAACTGGACGACTCGCTAGTAGCAAATCGAATGACGGACACCCTGTCACGCCATCTCGTTTTCGCACGTCGGCTCTTGGAGCAATTGGGGTGGATTATCAATCTCCCCAAGAGCGAGTTAACCCCTTCTCAGAACTTGCTGTTCATCGGAGGTCGGTTCAACACGGTGTCCCATCGCCTCTTTGTCCCCCCAGACCGGTGGCACAAGATTCAGGCGATGATTGCCAAAGTCTTAGCGGTGCAACAGACTGTTCACTTTTGGGAACAGCTGTTAGGGCTACTTGTATCAGCCCAGGACTGCACCGAACGGGGTCGTCTCCAACTCCGCCCGCTGCAACGGTTTTTAATCCAGTTGTTAGCAACGGAGGTGAACAGTGCGACCGTCGCCCTCCCGGATCGGCTCCGACCGCATCTGGAGTGGTGGACGGTCCCTTACAATGTCTTATCAGGAGTCTCTATGCGGCCCTACCGGGCCACGTTGAACCTGTATACAGACGCCTCTCTAGTGGGCTGGGGCGCCCGTTTAGAGGGGGAGGTGAGCTCGGGGCTGTGGTGCGTAGACGAACTAGGTCTTCACATCAATTGTCTCGAGTTCAAGGCAGTGATCAACGCAGTCAATCACTGGAAGCATCGTCTCGTCGACGCCCGGCTCATGCTGGCGACCGACAACATGACGGTAGTGTCCTATGTGAACAAACTGGGGGGAACCCACAGTCACTCGTTACTCGATCTCACATTCGAGTTTTACGCTCTGGTGGACAGTGTCCCGTGCCAGATACGCGCCCGTCACATCCCAGGTGTGCGGAACGTACTGGGCGATGCTCTATCGAGGCCTCAGGATCCGAGCCCCACAGAGTGGATGCTGAACCCAGTAGTGTTTCAGTGGCTGTGCGAACTTTTGGGTCGTCCGATGGTCGACCTGTTCGCAACACGGTTCAACAATCAACTCCCGTTGTTTGTATCACCAGTCCCGGACCCGAGGGCCATCGATCATGATGCTCTCGCGTTAGACTGGACGGGCTTGGACGCTTATGCTTACCCGCCGACCTTACCTGCGTTGATACCACACAATCTAAGCCGGCTCCGAGGAGTTCGCTGTCGAATGTTACTGATCGCGCCCATGTGGCCGAACAGATCGTGGTACCCTGACTTGCTGACCCAGGTCACGCAGTCGCCACTCCCAGTGCCTGTGAGACCGGATCTCTTGATCCACCCTCACACCCGTCAGCTTCATCCAAACGCAGGGCAGTTCAATCTGCACGCGTGGATGTTGTCACCAAGCGTCTGAGGAGTAAAGGTTTTTCTCGCCGGGCGTCTCGGGCATACGTTAGTATGCATCGTGATTCTACCCAGAAGGTGTATAATGCACGTTGGGTTATTTTCACGAAGTGGTGTTGTAAACATCACATTCATTCGCCAGATAAGGTATCTGTGCAGGATATTGCTCGTTTCATGTCTCACTTGCGAGAGACCCGGAAACTCTCCGGGGGTTCCATTGCCAACTATGTCTCGTCCGTTGCTACGGTACGGGACGTTGCTATGGGTACCAGTCTCTCCAAAGAGCCGGTGATACGGGGTATTATCAAGGGTTTCAAACAGCACGATCTTAAGAAGGGCCGCCTTCGGGCACCGGCCTGGGATCTTTCCCTAGTGTTGCAATCACTTACGGAAGCTCCGTATGAACCCTTGCATAGTGCTTCGTTTCCGGCATGTGACTTGGAAAACAGCATTTCTCCTCTCCTTTGCCACGGCGGCACGTGTATCCGAAATTCATGCACTCGATGTCGCCAAGGTACGATTCGATAGGGGTGACGAAGGAGCGGTCCGCCTGGGCCTGCTCATGGGCTTCGTCGCCAAGAATCAGAGAGTCGGGCAAACGGAGAGAGAATTCACTGTAAGATCACTCAAAGAAATCTTACATCCTGCTGATACTGAGGACAGAGAGCTGTGTCCGGTTAGGGCCCTTAAGTATTATCTTAAGGCTTCGAATGAACGTAGACAAGGGCGTGACCATCTGTTCATATCATGTAACCCTAATCGCACGGTTGACATAACTCGCAACTCGATTGCGTTGTGGCTTCGTTCTGTCATCAATCTGGCGTACCGGTATCAGGGGTTACCGGTAGCGGGGTCAAACCCGCACGAGATCAGGGCGCTAGCGGCAACATTTGCCCTACACTCGAATATCTCTGTTCGCAGAATATTACGAGGTTGTTACTGGCGTTCTGACTCGGTTTTTGCCAATCATTTCCTCAAACAGGTCGCTGATGCCGTAGTGGAGAGTGTGCACCGTCTTGGCCCGCGGATCGCGGCGCAAGCGGGCACCTAAGGGGTGTGCCCAGCGCAATTCCGAACTCCTCAGGCGTCAGACCTTGCACGGTGGTCAATCTGGGTCGACTCCAATGTTCCCACTGCCGTGGGTACAGGAGTTGGGGTCCCGCAAACCAGAGCACTCACACCACAGGTGAGGGCGGCTTTTTGTGTGCTTTGTCCTTATTTGTATTTTGACAATTATGTATTTAATTGTCTGTCGTGTATCCCAACCTTGTGATGCATGCTTACAAATACTGGAATTAGGTCACGCGCCTAATGCATACTTTAAGTAGGCTTGCTCTGGGATATACGGTCTGAATGAAATTAATTTCCCTTTTTTCGACTGTTTAACCTGATCTAAGATTAAGCTCACGCGGATACAGTGTTCTCATCCTCTGCGGCGATGAAATACCTATCCAGTGGGGCCGTTTGGAGTCACCAATCGTTTTGGCAATGACGATTGAGCCTTACGGTATGCGCTTGACAGTGCTTTGGTATTCCTATAGGGTAACGCCTAGCTAGGTGCATGCGCATCGAGTGCTTCCGCCTTGGTGTTTACTTACGCTGGTCGGAAGAAACGCTAGCAGTCAGGATTCGGGTTGTAGGTGCTCCCCACCGCCTACTGTGGTAGTCAGCCTCGGTATAACAGTGGTAACGTATTACTTAATGTAATTTGTAGAATTTTCCTATTCGGAATATTCTATAAGTAATACGTTACCACTGGGCTGCTGCCCGCCCGTCCGTCCCCCGAGCACTTGCTCTCGCAAGAGACAAGAGTGAAGGGTGTCACATGGCAGCTAGGTGGCTGCATGAGGTAATTGAGATCTCTGTGGTAGATTTCGCTATAGCAGCAGTTGTGGGAGACAACAGCCTCGGTATAACAGTGGTAACGTATTACTTATAGAATATTCCGAATAGGAAAATTCTACAAAACGGCACATAAATAGCCTTGAGTTCTTATCCATGATACTGGCGATAGATCGCAGCAAACAAAGCTGGAAGGGCACCTGAGTTCTTGTCTGGTCTCCACTGACAACTCCACAGCGGCACACTACAGCAAAACTGGCCCCCACTGTTTTGCAAAATGAACATATTTCTTTTAGTCTCTGACACTTGTACTCAGTAGATAAAAAATTCAAAATCAACATATTATTTGTAATTTCAACATGGTTGGTAAATGAGCTGAAGTGTCACTGGCTTGTCTGGTCCAGACTCGAATGTTTACAAATCACTGTCGTATTGTTTTTTGTGAGGATTGTGTGAGTGGTGGGTGTTGTAGGTGGAGCACAGAATTATCTTTGACAGAACATTCCAGTTCATGCCAGGGCTCCCCTCATCCCTGGCCTGACAAATGTCGTCACTCTCATCCTGTCAAGACAACACCAGTCCAGCCCATCACAGTGGCAACTTCATCCAACTTCAAGTTGGTTAATGTGTTATCAACAGGAAGCCTAGTCATGGAACATCCACCCTGGGCACGTTCAGCCCAAGATCGTTGGCTCGGCACATGTGGAACATCTACAAAGGCATTAATGGCTGGTGGGTTCTCCATCAGAGAAGCACAGGCCATTGTGTGGACACACAGGAATTCCACTGGAATGTCCTATGACACTAAAGAGGACTCTTTCACAGCCTGTAAGGCAAGAGGACGGGAACCTGTGTAGGTGATGCCTCAGTTCATCAGATACTACTTGTTATTTCTTCTAAAAGACTTAAACCAATCCAAGCAGCTTACAACCGGGGATAAATGGCAGGCTGTGGAATGTCAGACTTGAAGGACTGTGGACCAAGGAGTAGTTCTAAGTCATGACAAGTCAGCAGTATCTTCATGCCCCATTACTGATGACACTGCTGATATGAAATTTTGGGATTTTGTTGTTATAAGCTACAAATAATTTCCAATCCAGCCACCGCTGAGTGCTGACGAAATGTTTCTCTTGTGTCACAATAAATGTACTCGACCATGTATCATAGCTTTGCATGTTAGAGTAGGGTTGTGACAGGTTATTCAGGATTAGCGAAGAGGGTAGTTGCTTAGGTTAGTCCAGTCCAATCCAACACTGCAAGCTGCTGACCCTGCCAGCATCTGTGGGATAAACACTGGAATATGTTGTATCAGGATAAAAATATGAACTTGGATATTCATGATATTAGTATACTTATCCTGAAACAACAAGACTCGGGCACACCAGTCTGTCACATGTATGGATGAAGATAGGTGCTGATGGGAAGGCAGTGAGGGATCAAGGACAGATAACTCTGATTGGTAAGCAAGGGCAACAGGCTCCCCGGATGTAGAACAGGAATGTTTTGGGTTCTGTATTATATGAGTGAAGAGAAAAAATTGCAATAAGTATACTTATATTAATATATGACTGTTGTGCATATAGCTGATGCCAAGTTCTCATTAGCAAGTCATATATTTGCACTGTATCTTCTGACTAAGACACTGGAGTTACGTATGCTCCACTGATTTGTTTCAGATAATGATCTCAGGTTTTCATCTTCTAGGTGGTTTGATCTCAATAGGATATAGAAAAGTAATGACCTGTGGTACATTTCAGCACATCAATGACATCAGCTTGTCAATTGCCCTGGATGACACGTTACGGAAGGCGGAAGGCATCTTCCTGCAACTGAAGGCCTACAAGAAGCTGCCACAGACTGTCAAAGAAATTCTTGGTCTGGCAACGTCTCCCGGGCACTCGACCTCCTCGTCATCACGAAGCACGCCAGCCAGCACCCCTATCAACTACGAGAGCAGTCCTCGTCTGGAGCTTCGCGGACTCAATGTTACAAATGGTACCAGTAACTGCAGCTCGTCAGTCACGACGCCTGATGATAGCAGCATTGAAATCCTGGCTGAGACAGCTGATGCAGGGGTGACCAACTACTACCACTAAACACTGTGATAAATGCCAGGTATGGCACAAGATGCTGGAAGCAGGCCTATGTACATGTGGTAAGCTGGTCACATCCCCAACATCCATTCCGTATTTCGGTCAAGTGTCAATAATTATACTTCTCTCCAACAATGTATTCAAACCAGAAACACTTTCTGTGGAATTGTATGAAAAACGTGTTTCCTGCCACTCGTTTCTTATGCATGTCTTAACCAGGTCATTATGTTGGGCCGGATGTGTTAAGCTATTACAAATATGCCATCTCAAAATGCTTTTGTATGTAACATATACTATGGGAAGCCAAGATGAGGGACACATAGTGATCGGGTAACATTGACCAGTCTGCAGCCATCATATGCCTTGATGCTCTTCCTAGTCCTATATGTACGGGTTGTGTCAGAAAGAGAGAGAGAGAGAGGTGTGTTTGTATTTCACTGTGGTTGAGTGTCCTGGAGCCTTATTTATTGTTACCTGGAATACAAAAAGTGTCGGCCATTTAATTTGGATTCAGATTATGTCATGACGTTACCTAGAATACAGAAAATACAAGGACAACATTGCCTTGCGTAACAAAAATGTCTTGTTATCTTGCATACAAAGCAGGGATACATAGTCATACAGCTTGTTACAGCTTGGATATTGAGAAAAACATCTTTATACCTTGGATGCTAGAATATCATGTTGTTGTCAGTGGTTAAAAAAATGTGAGCTTGTCACCTATGATTAAGGGTGTACCACTTCGTGTTTGTAAATAGACTTTTGCCGATTGATTATGTTGAGATGATCATGGAGGATATTTTATTTCTCAAGAATTACATGTAGGTACAGTAGGTGTTGATTTTCAACATTTTCTTATAATTCAAAGTATGCTCTATTGTTTTCTTTAACCAGATGTTAATTTGTATTCCGTGATTTTTACAATGCTTGTACATGATTGGATATGTTGACATTTGTATATGTTGGATTCCTGTGAAAGTGTATGCCCTGAAGGTCTGGTACAACTAGTTAGTTTCTTCCTGTTGACAATGCATATGGATCTGTTGCTCAGCAAGATGCTCCACACTACAGCTACAGAGGTGCAGTGTGCTGTGACAGGTAGCTTGTCTTCATGTCACACTGCTTTCTGGCTTAAATGTGATCACATCACACTGGTGTACAGCCATGTGCTTCTTTCTTTTTGTGCCTTTGGTCGTGTGTTTTTTGACCATATGCACATCCATTGTCAGCAAGAACTCAGGCCATAACAGCAAGTTTGCAGGACTCTGTTCGTCATGCTTATGTCCATTTTTAAAACAGTATTTAATCAAAATGTAAGATTAATTTATCCATGTTTATGGTGATAGTGAATGTCTGATCTCTTCTCTTGTGTCTGAAGATATTTTATGCAGCTTGTGTGAGAAACAAGATGATGAAAGTGTTGAATGATGAGCCTGAAAGTCAAGAGTTTGTGAATGTTGTGAGCACAAAGGGATGTAAATTTGCTTCAGGTATGTTACTAAAGCTTTGATTCAGGTGCAATACATTATTGATGCTGATTTAACTGATGAGATTGCCTTCGGGAAAACAGCATGATTGTATTTAATGGAGGAGTATATCTGTAAAACTAGATTATTGCATGAAAGTAAGACATTTCTCCTTACTAATTTTCTGCACCAATACTATTCATCATCTAAGGTCATATTCCATATGTTGACCGTAGATGCTGGAATGAATGATTACAATATCATGTGATTGTCTCTGGACAATGAAAATGGTCATTGACCATTTATTATGTGATACTAACATACAATGTTTTTGTTCCTTCAGATAGTGTATGACTGTGACCAGTGCAGTTTTGAAACAACAACCTGGTGTGTGTGTAGCCTGTGTTCTTTCTTGCATGCCATGTAGGTTTTGAGGATACAACTGTATGATACTGAGAATCTTGAACCACTACCTAGGGGGGGGGGGGGGGGGGGGGCTAAATATTCAGTATGCTCCTAGATGTCACTAAAATCAGGTGTTTCCCTCTGGTACCCCTCTGCACCAACATCTAAAGACACCTCCAGAGATCTGAGTGACTTTGAGCACCCAGGCTAAATGAAAGATGCATGGGTTCTTCAGACAATCAGATGTCAGCTTCCAAAAATGATTTATAGCCATTTCTTCACTACATTGAAATGGAAATTTCTATTTTAGAAAAAGAAAACCCACACAGGATGCAAAGAGTGCTTCAGTATTGCACCTTTGCTACGTACATTTGAGGAAGGTTGTTTAAATTCGTTTCAAGAGACAAAATGCAGATATGCTGGCCTGAATGGTACACTTAATGTACCGATAGTTTAGAAGCCTGGACACTCATCAGAAAGTTTACCTGCTTTGACCTCATGGATTATGGAGGCGTTATCATGTCTTCACGCAGAGGGATATCGGGTCGGGAGAAAAAGATCTGATTTTAATAACATTGGTATGCACCTACTTCAACAATCATACATATCTATATATACGTTAGTTCTCAGGAGCTGTGAATTTGAATAGAGTTGGAGTTTCATTGCTTGAAAGAATTAACTTAAACTTGTAATACTGAAACATTATTTCCTTGGATACTTTTCCTATTTTATATTATTGGGGATAAGATATCCAATCTTGGGGGGGGGGTAATTTTCAACAGAACAGTTGAGAAGACATCTAGGATAGTAGCTTTCGCTTTGTCATCATGTAAGCCAGTGTACAACATATAGTCAGATATGCTGTGCCCATGTTCTGGGGGACAGGATGTACTTGTGATGGGTTTGTACATGTTATGGTACATAGACATACAGATCTTCACTGATGGTATTTACTTACACTAACTCCTTGTGTCGGGATCACTCTGTGCAAGTAGCCCAGAAAGGTGTTGGTCATATAGGGCATCACAGGCTGTAAGGAGTTTTCAAAGCTAATTCTTTCTAATTTCTTTATCATTTATTTCCAGTAGATTTATGAGGTTGCTAAAATAGACCAGTTCTCAAAATATTTGGACTATCACTTTGAAGGAACATATGATAAGGATATATCATCATTTTCCATCTATAGAAAATCAGATGACAGTTGCAAGCATTGTGAAACCATTACAATGACATGTGCTCTAGTTTGTTTATCTGGTCACACTGATGTGCTGCCATGTCTATAGACTAGAGCTGTGTATGATATCTATGGTATATTTACAATTCCTTGTCACTTTCTTACATACTTCTTTGACTCCAAATTATATAGCCTTGAAACTATCCTCAACTTTGAAGCATTTTGAATGTGTTAGTACCGTGTGCAGCAGCATGTGTTAGTACCGTGTGCAGCAGCATGTGTTAGTACCGTGTGCAGCAGCATGTGTTAGTACCGTGTGCAGCAGCATGTGTTAGTATTGTGTGCAGCAGCATGTGTTAGTTCTGTGTGCAGCAGCATGTGTTAGTGCATGTTGTTAGTCAGATACATGCCCCTTACCTACAGCTGGAAACATGTTTCACGTCCAGTGCCACACTAAGCCAGTTCATAGTGTGGTCATTTACAGAAATGGAAAGAAATATATTTGGGAAAGTATGTTTTAAATATGAGTATTATCAGTACAAATATCTATCCATTCAAAATGAATAATCTTTGGTAAATATATAAAAACTGACAAAGACTATAATCAGTGAGTTGAAGTGTGATTGGATGCCTGTCCGGCTCACCTGCCAGGAACCAGGGACTCTCTCATATGCTCTGAAGTCACTGCGTATATTGAATCTCTTAGGTTCTGATCGGAGGACAAATTTGGGATATGTTATGCTCATAAAATCGGTAGCTGAGTGGATTATCATACCTTTACCAAAAAAACTTTGTGAGAAACTGTTTCGACCACACAGATTCAAGTTTATGGGTTTCACGAAAGAGGTAAACTTCTGCAACCTGTATCACCCTGTACTTTCTGCAGACATTAAGATTGTTGCAATGGATCCACTCTCCTGATTACTGTATGGCATGGCATGTGATAGTACACTGGACAAAAAAGTAGGGATCAGGAATATAATGAGGGTAAGGGTGTTGCCTTACTTAAGGAATGAATTTTTTTATCAGACATCAAACTTTTGAACTAGCCTCCCTTAGCCTAATAAAATGCATATAGGAAATCAATTTGATTAATTTTGATTCACCTTTCTAGTTTCTTTATGCTAGCTTGGTGTGTGTCTGTTTTTACTTTCATTCAACACTTGTCATAGATAATTTCTGTCTCTGTCAATAGGACTCAGTAATGTCAAAAATTTGCTCCCAGTCTATTGGGACATTTTCTATACATGAATCTGTGAAAAGCATAAGAAAACTCAGTATTGAAACATGTAACTCAACGTGACCAATCAAACAGCTTCCTTTCAAACAGTGGAAGTGGTAAGTCAAGGGTTTTTTTGTTTTTCAAAATGTCCTTTGTCTCCAGGAAATCCAAGCCAGTGTGACCTATTATCCACTTGTATCCTCTAACCTTGTGGTAACATGTGTTCTCACCCTTCTCCATTTATATAACAGTTCATAAAACATGATTACAGAATATAACATTATCTGTCTCCTCCATCACTTTATATCCTTACTAGTAGAATATTTCTGGTAGAATAGGTCTTCAGCAACCCATGCTTGCCGTAAAAGGCGACAAACGGGATCAGGTGGTCAGGCTCGCTGACTTGGCTGATGCATGTCATTGATCCCAATTGTGTGGATCGATGCTCATGATATCAATCACTGGATTGTCTGGTCCAGACTCGATTATTTACAGACCGCCGTCATATAGCTGGAATATTGCTGAGTGCGGCGTTAAACAACAAACCAACCAACCAACCAACCAACCAACCAATCATATCCTTTCATCTTCTACCATCTGAGCTTATTCTCTCGAGCCAGGGGGTATGGGCTTGTTTTTCTTGGTATGTGTTGTCTTGGATGTAATAGCAGGTTCTAACACATTGGGATTAGTGTCAAACCAATGGCTTCAGATTGCTGCAACCAATGTCATTGTTATACCTCTTTTAGGAATCTTGCAATTCCTTTGGTTACTCTGTACCAAGTGACGAAACAATACATTTCAATGTAGACCCCGAAATCTTGTGACTGACACTGACCTTGATTACTGATTTGTCACATGATCAGTATTCACCTATCATGTAATGAATATTGACTCGTCTGCTAGAAAACAAGATGATGCCTGGTACAAACATTTCTTAGTTCGCAGCTTAGTTACTGTAATGAAACAGGGGATGTTTTTTTTAAAGACTGCATGAACTTCAAAGAGAATTTCGGTATGACAATATGAATGATTACTCTTGACGAAATACACATGGGAAAAGAAGGACCCTCGGAGCTGACCCCTTAGGCGGTCTGACTGAACCACCTCAGGGGTTGGTTCCTCGGGTCCTCACATATTGACCTTGTTAAGAGTAATTATTTGTATAATATATATTATAGTTAACTGTTATCATAACTTGGTTTGGAGATTTTGAATGATGGTAATCAAGTTATTCTAGTCACATTGTAACTAATAACTCAACAAACTTTAGGATATGTTATTTTCATGACGAGAATACTTTGCATAATAATACTTTTAAAACATAGATTATTAATCTCTTTTCGTAACTCAAAAGTGTTCGACTATTTACTGAGACAAGGGTATTTGTGGATTAAGGTATACAGGTAATTGAGGGTGGGGTATATACAGAAATATTTGACGCTGTCAGTAACTTCTGTTGGTGGCAGTTGTTGTCTTACTTCTCTTTAAACAAACAATGTCAGGCATTACCAACTATTTAGTCACATCTACCAACTATTGCTGTTTTCTTTGTGATTGGAGGAATTGCTCCGCTCTGACTTTGGGAAGTGTAATTGGTCACAGTAATTTCACATGTGACGGATGATAGGCTTGTGTTGAGTATTTAAAAACAAACAATTACAGCTTCTTCAAGAATCTTTTGTTTGATTTGGAAGGAATGTTTTTAATACCACAAGACCGGCACTGACCAACTATGACCCATGATGTCCATTGTGGAATGAAAGGATGATAACGTTTTACAGGAATATCTTAGTATGCCAATGCCACGTTAATAAGAAATTCTCTCTAAATGGAAAGGTCTCTATTAAAGAAGCAGTCTTGCGACTTTGGCCACTAGTTTGAAGCTTGAGTAACACTCTGTTCAGTCCAGTGAACTCAGAAATATTAACTAGTCCACTAAATTTATGGAAAATGATGCTGAGAGCAGCGTTTGGGCTTGTAGCCTCAAACAACTTTTGGGACGTTTTGGCACAGATTGCAGTAGTATGTATTGCTTATGAGAGAAGGATAGACAGCAAACCTATCCACTTAAAATCAGATCAACAAATAGGGGTATTGAGTGAAAGTAAAGATCTGTCTGAGATTGGAATGAGATGTATCTTTATGTAACAAATCTTGATATATTTGCTAAATATGTACTGATGTGTTAACATGCATCAGAAGAGGTAACCATTCATAATCATCACAAGAAATGCAAGTTTAAGTATATTACTTTTATTTTCCTTATTTTTAACAGAAAAGCAAGGAAACAGAAACTAAAACTGCCAAACTTAGATTTTTAATTGAACTGACAACAGATATTCAGATCATCTAGAATACCAAATCATGTATAGCCTTCTATTTTTATAGCTGTTGATTTATTAATCTTTTATGCTAGTGACAGTGCGATGCCAGCAGTTGATCTGCATATGTACAGTTCATGTAAATAAAACTTTTAAAATTGATAATTTGTGTTTTCTTCCTTTGTATTTGCGTTTCTGAAGAATGAAGGAACTACAGGCATCACGGTTTACGTACGATCAGTGGAACTTGGCATGATGAAAAGATGCAATTCTCAACTGACACCTGTCCATCCGTGCAATGCCTACACTGGAAGTTTGAACTGCATGTGTATTTAGAGATGATTACTATGTTTACATAAAAATATAATTGAGTGAAATTACACCGTTTTCTAGAACTAGTTTCAGTCTGCCTGACTGATGCTGATATTCAGGCTAAGACATGTAAGGTCAATTCATAATAAATCTTTCTTGTCAAATAACAGGTTCATCCCATCTTATGACCTCAAAAACTTGGTGGTTGAGCCACTAATTTAAATATTAATTCTGTTACGTCACTGGATGAGATAACATGTTATTTCACAAGAAACCTCAAAATATCCTCTCCATGAGAGTTCTGATGTATTTGTAGTATACTAAACAACAAAAGTTCCTGTGACATTGAATAAGATTTTATGCAAAGTTATGTTTTTTACCAAATCTGAAATAATTTCGGTTTGCAACAGATAAAAGACTCCTGTAAGTGTTCAAAGGGTTTAATTTGCCATACTGACTTCAGAAAATGCATGATTTCATAAAAAACATGAACATGCCAAAATGTCAATTTACAAATCAATAGCATGTGTGTCCACCTCTGGTTGGGATGCAAGCAACACATCTTCGTTTCATGGAATGGACCAGGCGTCGCACAATGTCCTGTGGGATATCTGTCCATATCTGCTGGAGCATGTTTCGAAGTTCCTGGAGTTTCTGTGGAACAGGTGGTTGACGTCGAAGGCACCGATTCATCGCATCCCACATGTGCTTGATTGGTGAGAGATCAGGGGAGCGAGCTGGTCAGGGGATGACATTCACGTGGTTTTGTTGTAGAGAAACCTGAATAAGTCAAGCAATATGAGGCCGGGCGTTGAAAGGTAATGCCTGGGCCATGAAGACGCTAAAACGGTAGAACAACAGGGCCGATGATCTGAGGTGAAAACGAGACTCGTCACTCGTCAGTGAATAGAACTTGTCCCATTGCATGGCCGTCCAGCGTAGACGTTGTCTTCACAACTGTAGATGTGCTTGACGGCGGTTTCCTGTCAAAATGGGACGTCTGGCGGGTCTTCTGGCGACAATCCCTGCACATCTGAGGCGACGACGTACGGTCTTTGAAGATATTCGTCGAAGGCCAGGGATGCTTCTTGCACTCACTGTTGCTGGCTGGAATCGATCCAGTTGCCTTGTCGATTATTGGTTACGCGTGGCCTGCCACTCCGAGGATAGTCTCTGACTGCATTCGTCTGTTGCCAACGTTGCCATAAACACCAAATGGTGTTTCTGTGGACGTTAAATTGTCTTGCAACATTACGTTGACTCGATCCTGCTTCAAGCATACCAATGGCTCGCAGACGCTCATTTTCGGACAGGCTTGGCATTTCGTAATGTTGAATAATTGCGTAATTTTGTTGTTTTTCTGAGTGGTTGTTGTCAGCACGATGCTGATCAATGCATATGGAATCCCGTTAACACGTTTTTATACCCATTCTTGGGTTTTGAAATGCATGGGGCTTGCATAAAAGTCAACTTTTGCATGGAATGCATGCTTTTCTGTAGCAGTTGCGTTTTTGTGACTTGATTCCATACATGTACTGCAATATTGAAAACCAAACTTTACTTGTTTGAAAAATACACTAAAATATTTGTGTCACAGGAACTTTTGTTGTTGAGTAAATGTGAAAGTTGTACGCTTGTAGTTCGTAAATCATGCAAGGTTCTATATATCTGTCCTGCATCCGAGTATGAAGTCGATTACATTGGCGTTATTTAACCTCAACTTAATTGTCTTCACTGCCTCAATGGTGTCGGTTTTGTCATCAGTGGCTTCCCCAGTGTCGGGGTAAAGTTTGGCTTAGTGACTAGTCCTGTTTCCTTCTTCAAGGGAGAGATGGGCGGATCCGTGTCTTTTGTGACCGAATGAGTGTTGAACTGGATTTTACGTTCAATAAGTCATCCGAATCAGCGGAGGAAGTGTCATGATGTGATGAACCATCTCTTATGGACTTAATAGATCTTGTTAATATCCAGTGCAACTTAACAGGTGTGTATTATCGTGACGAGATCTTATGTCCTCAAGTTGTCTCAGTGTCTTCTGGGCCTCATAGGCTGAGATCACTCATCCAAGGCTCAAATGACTCCCCAGGCTCAAATTGTGCGCGCTGCCTGAATGACACATGTGCTCAACCCCCATGTTGTTGCGTCGATTTCTCAGACATATGCCTCCTGAACCGCCCTGTAAATGTGGTCACAACTTCGCTGTTCACCACTTATTTATTTGTCCACTCTTTACAAACTGACGAAATACGAATAGTTTTACATTAGAAACCTATTTGAGAGTGATTCATTGGCACATGCTTACAATATAGTCGAATTGAACAATGGACGCTGCATTTTGCAGTGATTTCTTTTTATGATTATATATAAACCTCCTGCCACTTTGGCCAATAGCATCTTCCTATCTCATAGTAAACTTCCAAGTGAGAACTGCTCAGAGATTTTACATTTGAATTACAATTTATCTTTCATAAACTGGCCTTTGATATGAATATAATGTTGAGTTTTGATTGGTTAGAAGTCACTATATTTTTATATGAAAATTCGAAATTACGTGAATCTGAATCGAACCTGCAGCCTCACATATTGTGTCAATTTTGTGAGCCACTGGGGCATTTGATGAATGGTTTTTCAATTTTACACACACGTCATGACTAGTTCTGTGGATGCTGCACCTGGTCTTTCTCCCGCATGCTTTTATCCACGACACACTATTGTCACGATAAGGTATCTCGATGTTTTCTTATTGTTTTTAAGATGGTTTATATGTTGGATAAAACCAAAACCCAGGAGTGTTTTATCCTTAACAGAAAGGTTTTGTCATTTTAAATTAAATAAAACCTTGTTGAACCATTGTTTTCATCTTCATTAAATGTTTATAGATTTTTTTATTTATATTTTATTTCTATAAGGAAATGATGATGTATGGTACCTTTCCCGGCGCTGTGCATAATTGGAATCCAAATAACTACTTCCTGTCCAGAAACCGTTCCAGATATCAATACCCTCAGTTAGTGCGTTCTTCATGAGCAAACATTTTACACGTGGGTAGTTGACAAGGTTCTAGCTTGCACACATGAATTGTAAGAGCTTATATTGTATATTCATCTGAGGCTAAGACTTGCTCTCTTTGCGAACAGCTGGTGTCATCATTGATTTTCAGTCATCCATTCATATAATTTTCACAGCTATTTTGTATTTTACGCCCAATGGAATCTGTTTCGTTGAAAAACGAGACTGGGTATTTTCTAGCATTGACGTTTTATATTTCTAGAACAATTTTATTTTACGACAAAAGTATTGTTCCATAATAGCAAAAGGAATTCGATATGCCTGTAATGTTTTGTTTTTGCTTGACATGGATACTAGTATTTGATACTGACCGTCGTAGCTTGAGGTAGTGACGCTACGAGCACATGCAAAATACAGTAAACTACGGTTATAACGAAACTAAACTCATGAATATTACACGTATTACATGTATTGGAAGTGAAAAAGGTACTCCAACCTCCAAATAAACATTTCATCATTCTGTAAGGAAGAAGCACACACTGTCTACTGTAGGGGTACATGTCACCAGGGAGTCTGAGAATCTTTGTATAGTCTCCCGCATGTTGCACATACATGTTGTAGATTTGACGACCCTAAATTCTAGTTGAAACCGAAGGCGAAGCTCATCTATTTCAATCAGAGGTTTTTATTGTGAACTCAAACTTCTTATTGACTATACACAATCGAATATTTTCCAAATTCAGGATAAAATTGACATCTTTCATAATTTCCACTCTGTCAAATTGTAACTATAGCTTTCGTATGAGAATGTTTTCGAGAAAATGGTTTGGGTGTGGTCAATGATTCTGTTGACGCGCCGCCTCTGAGATACTGTATACTGCTGGAGTGACGACGCAAACTTAATAGGTTGCCTATGGAAGCTCCCTTCTGGGTCAACAACAGCACGCCTGACATCTCCGACCACGCCAAGAAACGACAGAATACGAGCCAGCTCTTTCTCCAGGTTAGCCTGGATATTCTCGTAGACTATCGGCATCACGTGGTCCGCCTGCAACCACGACCTGTAGAACGGAAGCCAGGCACGTCGGAAACGGCTGCTTTCAGACTCCCAATCTTAAAAGAAATATCAAATACACTTGTTGAGCTACAGCTAAACTTGAGGTTTTATTTTAGTTAGATCACATTAAGAAGCTTCTGATTTGATAACAGCCACCAAATAATATCCTAAAATTTGATTTAGCTATTACTTTTAAATGCGTTTTGCTTCAAGAAATAGAATCAAATAGAATGGATAACCAAAGTAGTAAACCTCACATAGTGTGCAACCATGAACACCTAGTTCATGACCATCCCATTATTCCAGTCTATTAGCAATATTACCCAAATTAATAATGCAACAGCCGTCGGTGATATAGACTCACGTTGGCACTTTTCTAATCGATCATATTAGGAGCCAACATGACGGCCCATATATGCGTTATACATTGAAGCATGGGCTCACATTTCTGCCAGGCCTTTATAGGTGCAGTGCCTGTGTGTTGTCCCGAGAATACCCTGTTGAAGTTGGCGACAATGGCGTGGTATGGGTTTCTGATGATCAGCAGCACCTTGTCAGGTGTAAAGGTGTTGTCGGGATATCTCAGGTGTGTCTTGATAGCCACAACGGAATGGTCAGCTCGCTCTTCTCCGCAGAACACATCCAGCAAGGATCTGTCATGATGGACGGAGCCTGTTGCAAGCCCTTGTACCAGGGAAAGAAAAGGGAAGGTCAACTGATGCGTTTCGCAATCACTGTTCATCAAATTTTAAGGTTCAGATTATCATCGCACTGGATATTTCCTCATCCAGGAGTTGTCTGTTCTTCTCTCCGTACGCAATCTAGAGTGGGGGCGCAGCGGGGTGGCGCGCGTTTTCCCCCTTCCTCCTTATGGTGTTTACAAATCATTTGATTGATTTTTGAAGAGCGATTACTTGAGGATTTAATGTCTCATACTTGTAGTCCTAAGATCTTCTGGGACCAAGTGAAGGGACTTGTATCAAAAAACAGTAATGCAACTCAGTTTATAGCTCCATCAGAATGGGTCTCCTACTTTAAAAATATTTTAAATATTTGGTAATTTTCCTGAGGATTTGGCTCGAGGTTTACTTACTCCCCTTCATAAGAAAGGCAGCAAATTTGATGTTAACAATTATAGAGGTATTACACTTAGTGATGTATTGGGTAAAATATTTACTTTTATTCTTAATAAACGGCTTACTATGTTTTGTGACATTTACGATAAGATACCAGAGTCTCAGGCGGGTTTTAGGGCTGGATACAGCACCATTGATAATATATTTGTGTTGCAAAGTCTAATACAGAAATACTTATCTAAAGCTAATGGCAGATTTTACTGTTTATTTGTTGATTTTAGAAAAGCCTTTGATTGTGTAAATAGAAAATTGTTGTGGTATATCATGTTAAATAAGGGTATACATGGAAAGTTATTTTATGTCATTAAAGATATGTATTTAAAAGTGAAATCGGCTGTAAAGTTATCAAATAGCACAGCAACTTGCTACTTTGAAACGCTAAGTGGTGTACGCCAAGGCTGCACCCTTAGCCCTATATTGTTCTCTTTGCTCATTGTTGAATTAGAATCAATGTTGCAGTCCTCCGGCGAGAGGGGAATATTTGTGAGTCAAGAATCTCTAGACATTTTGTTGTTATTATATGCCGATGATTTGTGCATAATTGATGATACTGTAGTTGGTCTCCAACGAAAACTTTAAACCTTAAATCTTTCTGTACTAAATGGGGTTTAGAAGTTAACCATAGTAAGACTGAAATTTTAGTTTTCAGGAATGGTGGAAAACTTAGGAGTACTGAGAAATGGAGGTTTGGAGATGTTAATGTTAATGTATCTACCTATTATAATTATCTAGGTTTGTTATTTTCAAATCGGCTGTGTTGGACGACTGGTATCAACTCTCTTGTTCAGAAGGCAAATAAGGCTCTGTTCGTTGTTAAGAAATTACAGCATTGTTTGAAGAACATACCTGTACATATACTTTTTAAAATATTTGACATTCAAATTAAGCCTGTATTATTATACACTTCAGAAATATGGGGCTATTCAAAAATTGCAGCAATTGAAAAATTTCAGATTAAATTCTGTAAATTTACTATTGGAATTGGAAGTCATGTTACAAATGTTGCTGCCCTTGGCGAATGTGGTAGATATGGCTTATTTATTGATTATCACAAGAGATGTATTAAATATTGGTTGAAATTGTTATCTTTACCCAGTTATAGATACCCTAAGCAATGTTATTTAATGCTGAAACTTTGGATGAAGTTAATCGCACTACATGGGTAACTTGTGTCAAAAGACTATTATTCAGTTATGGATTTGGCCACGTGTGGATTTCGCAGGAAGTTGGTAATGAGACCCTCTTTATTAATGCATTTATTCAAAGGTTAAAAGACTGTAACCAACAGGACTGGTATTGTAAAGTTTGTGAAATACGTAAATTATCAATGTATAAGGAATATAAGTCATTGCTAACAGTTGAAAAGTATCTCTGTGAAATCACAAGCCGTCGTTATAGACGTATGTTTTGTTTGTTAAGAATTGGCGAGTTGCCATTGATGGTAAATTTAGGTAGAAGATGCGGTATAGAGTACTGTAATAGGCAGTGCAGATATTGTAATTTACAGGAAATTGAAGATGAGTTTCATTTTATGCTTTTCTGCCCATGTTACAGATATTTAAGAAATAAGTATTTACCTATTTATTACTCTTCCAATCCTACCTTATTTAAATATAATACACTATTATCTTGTAACCGGACTAGTATTGTAACTAATTGTGTTAAGTATATACTGGAAGCACTTGCAATCCGAAATACTGTCACTTAATACCCTCTGTCATCTGCCTCATACTGTATTTTTCAATGAGTATTTGTACGTGGGCCTATGGCCTTTATACTGAAATAAAGAATAAAGAATACAAATCATTTTGACGTACGAAAATAACATCAACTAGAAATGTTCCAGCTGACATGCATCAACTTGGAATGTTCCAACTGACATGCATCAACTAAGAATGTTCCAGCTGACATCTATCAACTAGGAATGTTCCAGCTGACATGCATCAACTAGGAATGTTCCAGCTGGCATGCATCAACTAAGACTGTTCCAGCTGACATGCATCAACTAGGAATGTTCCAACTGACATGCATCAACTAGGAATGTTCCAGCTGACATGCATCAACTAGGAATGTTCCAACTGACATGCATCAACTAGGAATGTTCCAGCTGACATGCATCAACTAGGAATGTTCCAACTGACATGCATCAACTAGGAATGTTCCAGCTGACATGCATCAACTAGGAATGTTCCAACTGACATGCATCAACTAGGAATGTTCCAGCTGACATGCATCAACTTGGAATGTTCCAGCTGACATGCATCAACAAGGAATGTTCCAACTGACATGCATCAACTAGGAATGTTCCAGCTGACATGCATCAACTAGGAATGTTCCAGCTGACATGCATCAACTAGGAATGTTCCAGCTGACATGCATCAACTAGGAATGTTCCAACTGACATGCATCAACTAGGAATGTTCCAACTGACATGCATCAACTAGGAATGTTTCAGCTGACATGCATCAACTAGGAATGTTCCAACTGACATGCATCAACTAGGAATGTTCCAGCTGACATGCATCAACTAGGAATGTTCCAACTGACATGCATCAACTAGGAATGTTCCAGCTGACATGCATCAACTAGGAATGTTCCAACTGACATGCATCAACTAGGAATGTTCCAGCTGACATGCATCAACTAGGAATGTTCCAGCTGACATGCATCAACTAGGAATGTTCCAGCTGACATGCATCAACTAGGAATGTTCCAACTGACATGCATCAACTAGGAATGTTCCAACTGACATGCATCAACTAGGAATGTTTCAGCTGACATGCATCAACTAGGAATGTTCCAGCTGACATGCATCAACTAGGAATGTTCCAGCTGACATGCATCAAATAGGAACGTTCCAGCTGACATGCATCAACTAAGAATTTCCAGCTGACATCTATCAACTAGGATTGTTCCAGCTGACATGCATCAACTAGGAATGTTCCAGCTGACATGCATCAACTAAGAATTTCCAACTGACATGCATTAACTAGGAATGTTCCAACTGACATGCATCAACTAGGACTGTTCCAGCTGACATGCATCAGCTAGAAATGTTCCAGCTGACATGCATCAACTAGGAATGTTCCAACTGACATGCATCAACTTGGAATGTTCCAGATGACATGCATCAACTAGGAATATTCCAGCTGACAATTCTCATTGACATGCATCAACTAGGAACGTTCTTACCATAATAAAGTATCATTTTCTCCGACATCTACAATTCTCACCTGTCATTCGCTCGATGAGGTGCCTTACCCAGGTATTGCCTGTCCCGGGAAAACTTGCCAGTGCCGTCAGAGAAAGGGGTACATAGGAAAATCGGATGCCTGTTCTGCAGTCGGAAGAGTTGTGTGTGTTGTCAAAAGTGTCCTTTCTTTGTATGGAGTTCGTCAGGTTGGCGCGAGCTGCTTGGTGGTTTTCATGATGTTCACTCAACCACTTGTCTGCCCTATGTTCAGCTAACCGAGGTCGATAAATATTATAGCTACTTCTAGTACTAGACCGTAAATACATCAGTATTGACAAGAAACTTAACAAAACGATGAGAAAACATTTTCGACAAGTTATTCTCATCGCTTAACATTTGAAGAATAGCAAAACATGTCAGCTTTTACCCAACACAATATGTAAACTGACACTGCATAACCAAAAAAGCCAACCGCTTTCGTCAGTGATACTCCAGGGAGAATCGATTACCCAGCAGGTATCAAGTGTCCCCAGATCCCCAGTCGTGTTTAATGTATTACGTACATAGTCAGCTTGGCAGAAGTGTGAAGCTGTTGCCCAAAAATCGAATCTCCACAGTAATGTGTTCTACAAATCCTTGTGTAAAATTATAATGTAGAGAATATAGTGGTGGGGGTCATAGTATTCTAATGCACATCCGAATAAAATGTTTTTCTTGTAGATTAAATAAACGTACACCAGCTGTTACAGTGGTGATTGAGTTTGGTTTGACGTGGCTTTGAATTGTATTTTCGATTATATGGTGTGGCGTTATCTGCATGTCAAGATCATCTTTTTGAGCGCATTTTATATGATTATGTAAATGTTTAGTAGGCGTGGCCACAAGACGTATAATTGTCGGTTATGTTTCCGGTGGCGTGGCCCCTTGAGGCAGATATTGTAAAACGTAAATATGTAAGAAGACGTAAAACATATGTGGTGATTGACAGGTACTTCCGATAAGTGCGTATATTATACTGTTTGGCAGGTCCTTTCCCACGTTTGACTGTCAGTACCCTACGCCCTTTGGATGTACTAAATATCCACTTTCCACGCTTTGACTGTCAGTACCCTACGCCCTTTGGATGTACTAAATATCCACTTTCCACGCTTTGACTGTCAGTACCCTACGCCCTTTGGATGTGTTATATGTCCACTTTCCCAGGCTTTGACTGTCAGTACCCTACGCCCTTTGGATGTACTAAATATCCACTTGCCCAGGCTTTGACTGTCAGTACCCTACGCCCCTTGGATGTACTGTGTATCCACTTTCCCAGTCTTTGACTGTCAGTACCCTACGCCCTTTGGATGTGTTATATGTCCACTTTCCACGCTTTGACTGTCAGTACCCTACGCCCTTTGGATGTACTGTGTATCCACTTTCCCAGGCTTTGACTGTCAGTACCCTACGCCCTTTGGATGTACTAAATATCCACTTGCCATGCTTTGACTGTCAGTACCCTACGCCCTTTGGATGTACTAAATATCCACTTTCCACGCTGTGACTGTCAGTACCCTACGCCCTTTGGATGTGTTATATGTCCACTTTCCACGCTTTGACTGTCAGTACCCTACGCCCTTTGGATGTACTGTGTATCCACTTTCCACGCTTTAACTGTCAGTACCCTACGCCTTTTGGATGTACTGTGTATCCACTTTTCCACGCTTTGACTGTCGGGGTCCTACGCCCTTTGGATGTACTAAATATCCACTTTCCCAGGCTTTGACTGTCAGTACCCTACGCCCTTTGGATGTACTGTGTATCCACTTCCCACGCGTTTACCGTCCAGGATCCTGCGCACTTTGGGTGTACTGTCTAACCACTTCCCATGCGTTTACTGTCCAGGATCCTATGCACTTTGGATGTACTGTGTATCCACTTCCCACGCGTTTACTGTCCAGGATCCTACGCACTTTGGATGTACTGTGTATCCACTTCCCACGCGTTTACTGTCCAGGGTCCTACGCCCTTTGGATGTGCTGTGTATCCACTTCCCACGCGTTTACTGTCCAGGATCCTACGCACTTTGGATGTACTGTGTATCCACTTCCCACGCGTTTACTGTCCAGGATCCTACGCACTTTGGATGTACTGTGTATCCACTTCCCACGCGTTTACTGTCCAGGATCCTACGCACTTTGGATGTACTGTGTATCCACTTCCCACGCGTTTACTGTCCAGGATCCTACGCACTTTAGCTGTACTGTGTATCCACTTCCCACACTTTTACTGTCAGTACCCTACGCACTTCGGATGTACTGTGTATCCACTTCCCACGCGTTTACTGTCCAGGATCCTATGCACTTTGGATGTACTGTGTATCCACTTCCCACGCGTTTACTGTCCAGGATCCTACGCACTTTGGATGTACTGTGTATCCACTTCCCATGCGTTTACTGTCCAGGATCCTATGCACTTTGGATGTACTGTGTATCCACTTCCCACCCGTTTACTGTCCAGGATCCTACGCACTTTGGATGTACTGTGTATCTACTTCCCACGCGTTTACTGTCCAGGATCCTACGCACTTTGAATGTACGGTGTATCCACTTCCCACGCTTTTACTGTCCAGGATCCTACGCACTTTGGATGTACTGTGTATCCACTTCCCACGCGTTTACTGTCCAGGATCCTACGCACTTTGGATGTACTGTGTATCCACTTCCCACGCGTTTACTGTCCAGGATCCTACGCACTTTAGCTGTACTGTGTATCCACTTCCCACACTTTTACTGTCAGTACCCTACGCACTTCGGATGTACTGTGTATCCACTTCCCACGCGTTTACTGTCCAGGATCCTATGCACTTTGGATGTACTGTGTATCCACTTCCCACCCGTTTACTGTCCAGGATCCTATGCACTTTGGATGTACTGTGTATCCACTTCCCACGCGTTTACTGTCCAGGATCCTACGCACTTTGGATGTACTGTCTATCCACTTCCAACGCGTTTACTGTCCAGGATCCTATGCACTTTGGATGTACTGTGTATCCACTTCCCACGCGTTTACTGTCCAGGATCCTATGCACTTTGGATGTACTGTGTATCCACTTCCCACGCGTTTACTGTCCAGGATCATACGCACTTTGGATGTACTGTGTATCCACTTTCCACGCGTTTACTGTCCAGGATCGTACATACTTTGGATGTACTGTGTAGCCACTTCCCACGCTTTTACTGTCACTACCCTACGCACTTTGGATGTACTGTGTATCCACTTCCCACGCTTTTACTTTCAGTACCCTACGCACTTTGGATGTACCATGTATCCACTTCCCACGCGTTTACTGTCCAGGATCCTACGCACTTTGGATGTACTGTGTATCCACTTCCCACGCGTTTACTGTCCAGGATCCTATGCACTTTGGATGTACTGTGTATCCACTTCCCACCCGTTTACTGACCAGGATCATACGCACTTTGGATGTACTGTGTATCCACTTTCCACGCGTTTACTGTCCAGGATCGTACATACTTTGGATGTACTGTGTATCCACTTCCCACGCTTTTACTGTCACTACCCTACGCACTTTGGATGTACTGTGTATCCACTTCCCACGCTTTTACTTTCAGTACCCTACGCACTTTGGATGTACCATGTATCCACTTCCCACGCGTTTACTGTCCAGGATCCTACGCACTTTGGATGTACTGTGTATCCACTTCCCACGCGTTTACTTTCCAGGATCCTACGCACTTTGGATGTACTGTGTATCCACTTTCCACGCGTTTACTGTCCAGGATCCTACGCACTTTGGATGTACAGTGTATACACTTCCCACGCTTTTACTGTCCAGGATCCTACGCACTTTGGATGTACTGTGTATCCACTTCCCACGCTTTTACTGTCAGTACCATACGCACTTCGGATGTACTGTGTATCCACTTTCCCAGGCTTTGACTGTCAGTACCCTACGCCCTTTGGATGTACTAAATATCCACTTTCCACGCTTTGACTGTCAGTACCCTACGCCCTTTGGATGTGTTATTTGTCCACTTTCCACGCTTTGACTGTCAGTACCCTACGCCCTTTGGATGTACTGTGTATCCACTTTCCCAGGCTTTAACTGTCAGTACCCTACGCCCTTTGGATGTACTAAATATCCACTTTCCACGCTTTGACTGTCAGTACCCTACGCCCTTTGGATGTACTGTGGATCCACTTTCCACGCTTTAACTGTCAGTACCCTACGCCTTTTGGATGTACTGTGTATCCACTTTTCCACGCTTTGACTGTCGGGGTCCTACGCCCTTTGGATGTACTAAATATCCACTTTCCCAGGCTTTGACTGTCAGTACCCTACGCCCTTTGGATGTACTTTGTATCCACTTCCCACGCGTTTACCGTCCAGGATCCTGCGCACTTTGGGTGTACTGTCTATCCACTTCCCATGCGTTTACTGTCCAGGATCCTATGCACTTTGGATGTACTGTGTATCCACTTCCCACGCGTTTACTGTCCAGGATCCTATGCACTTTGGATGTACTGTGTATCCACTTCCCACGCGTTTACTGTCCAGGATCCTACGCCCTTTAGGTGTACTGTGTATCCACTTCCCACGCGTTTACTGTCCAGGATCCTATGCACTTTGGATGTACTGTGTATCCACTTCCCACGCGTTAACTGTCCAGGATCCTATGCACTTTGGATGTACTGTGTATCCACTTCCCACCCGTTTACTGTCCAGGATCCTACGCACTTTGGATGTACTGTGTATCCACTTCCCACGCGTTTACTGTCCAGGATCCTATGCACTTTGGATGTACTGTGTATCCACTTCCCACGCTTTTACTGTCAGTACCCTACGCACTTTGGATGTACTGTGTATCCACTTCCCACGCGTTTACTGTCCAGGATCCTATGCACTTTGGATGTACTGTGTATCCACTTCCCACGCGTTTACTGTCCAGGATCCTACGCACTTTGGATGTACTGTGTATCCACTTTCCATGCGTTTACTGTCCAGGATCCTATGCAGTTTGGATGTACTGTGTATCCACTTCCCACGCGTTTACTGTCCAGGATCCTATGCACTTTGGATGTACTGTGTATCCACTTCCCACCCGTTTACTGTCCAGGATCCTACGCACTTTGGATGTACTGTGTATCCACTTCCCACGCGTTTACTGTCCGGGATCCTATGCACTTTGGATGTACTGTGTATCCACTTCCCACGCGTTTACTTTCCAGGATCCTATGCACTTTGGATGTACTGTGTATCCACTTCCCACCCGTTTACTGTCCAGGATCCTATGCACTTTGGATGTACTGTGTATCCGATTCCCACGCGTTTACTGTCCATGATCCTACGCACTTTGGATGTACTGTGTATCCACTTCCCACGCGTTTACTGTCCAGGATCCTATGCACTTTGGATGTACTGTGTATCCACTTCCCATGCGTTTACTTTCCAGGATCCTATGCACTTTGGATGTACTGTGTATCCACTTCCCACGCGTTTACTGTCCAGGATCCTATGCACTTTGGATGTACTGTGTATCCACTTCCCACGCGTTTACTGTCCAGGATCCTCCGCACTTTGGATGTACTGTGTATCCACTTCCCACGCGTTTACTGTCCAGGATCCTACGCACTTTGGATGTACTGTGTATCCACTTCCCACGCGTTTACTGTCCAGGATCCTACGCACTTTGGATGTACTGTGTATCCACTTCCCACGCGTTTACTGTCCAGGATCCTACGCACTTTAGATGTACTGTGTATCCACTTCCCACGCTTTTACTGTCAGTACCCTACGCACTTCGGATGTACTGTGTATCCACTTCCCACGCGTTTACTGTCCGGGATCCTACGCCCTTTGGATGTACTGTGTATCCACATCCCACGCGTTTACTGTCCAGGATCCTATGCACTTTGGATGTACTGTGTATCCACTTCCCACGCGTTTATTGTCCAGGATCCTATGCACTTTGGTTGTACTGTGTATCCACTTCCTACACTTTTACTGTCAGTACCCTACGCACTTTGGATGTACTGTGTATCCACTTCCCACGCGTTTACTTTCCAGGATCCTACGCACTTTGGATGTACTGTGTATCCACTTCCCACCGTTTACTGTCCAGGATCCTACGCACTTTGGATGTACTGTGTATCCACTTCCCACGCGTTTACTGTCCAGGACCCTATGCACTTTGGATGTCCTGTGTATCCACTTCCCACGCTTTTACTGTCAGTACCCTACGCACTTTGGATGTACTGTGTATCCACTTCCCACGCGTTTACTGTCCAGGATCCTATGCACTTTGGATGAACTGTGTATCCACTTCCCACGCGTTTACTATCCAGGATCCTGCGCACTTTGGATGTACAGTGTATCCACTTCCCACGCTTTTACTGTCCAGGATCCTACACACTTTGGATGTACTGTGTATCCACTTCCCACGCGTTTACTGTCCAGGATCCTACACACTTTGGATGTACTGTGTATCCACTTCCCACGCTTTTACTGTCAGTACCCTACGCACTTTGGATGTACTGTGTATCCACTTCCCACGCGTTTACTGTCCAGGATCCTATGCACTTTGGATGTACTGTGTATCCACTTTCCACGCGTTTACTGTCACTACCCTACGCACTTTGGATGTACGGTGTATCCACTTCCCACGCGTTTACTGTCAGTACCCTACGCACTTTGGATGTACCATGTATCCACTTCCCACGCGTTTACTGTCCAGGATCCTACGCACTTTGGATGTACTGTGTATCCACTTCCCACGCGTTTACTGTCCAGGATCCTACGCACTTTGGATGTACTGTGTATCCACTTCCCACGCGTTTACTGTCCATGATCCTACGCACTTTGGATGTACTGTGTATCCACTTTCCACGCGTTTACTTTCCAGGATCCTACGCACTTTGGATGTACTGTGTATCCACTTCCCACGCGTTTACTTTCCAGGATCCTACGCACTTCGGATGTACTCTGTATCCACTTCCCACGCGTTTACTTTCCAGGATCCTACGCACTTTGGATGTACTGTGTATCCACTTCCCACACGTTAACTGTCAGGATCCTTTGCACTTTGGATGTACCATGTATCCACTTCCCACGCGTTTATTCCGTCATTCCGTTTAACTATTTAGCTGCGCTCAGTCGAATATATCCTCCCTGTTTTGATAAGTACGTGTACACCGACACTGCCATCAACCCAGTAATCTACACAAGTCCATATGAAGTTTTGGTCACACAAAGCTCCAGCGAGTTGGTCACCCGCCAGATGGCATGGGCCAAGAGAGGGTATTTCCGGGTCAGATGCAACAGACATCGCTCCAGGCGCTCCTGTACCTGGCCACACACAATGTGTCCTGCCCTGGTAGTCTGTAACATTGAGTTGTGTACACACGTCTCCATGACAACGATGATATCATACATGTTTTCAGCCAAAATTGGGCAGAAGTCTACTTTAGCACAGTGTGCCTGTCTGAGATGACATGCGAACTGTTCAATGTGGTGGCAGAACATATACAGAACCTCCTGTAGCAGAGCCAGGGACTTGGTCTGGTAAAAGCAGGGCAGTAGCTGAAGCAGCCTGGAAATTTCACCACTCTGGAAATGACAGTCATCAATTTTTGAGAGACCAATACATCTGTACCAACATAGGACTTGACAGAATATTGTGGTATTCTTCCTAGTCATGCTAGATAAAGTCACTAGGCAAACAGCCTATGATACTGACATGTTACACCATTTAAAAATATGACTGGTCGTACATAGTTTACAACATTCTTTTCAGCATAACTGGGAGTTTTAGCACACACTAAACCACTGCCACAGAAGATCCGGGGTAGAATAGGTCTTCTGAAACCCATGATTGCCGTAAGAGGTAACTAACGGGATCGGGCGGTCAGGCTTGCTGACTTGGTTGATGTATGTCATCGTATCCCAATTGTGTAGATCGATACTCATGATGTCAATCACTGGATTGTTCGTCCAGACTCGATTATTTACAGACCGCCGTCATATAGCTGAAATGAATACGGCGTTAAACAACAAACTGCCACTGATATATTGAAATCCATTCTAGCAGCTGAAGTGTGTGTGTACGTTTCCTTTTGCTTACCTGTCGGATTCTGTCAGTAGCTAAAGCTCTCTGTATAATGCTAGAGAGTACATTAAGGAGTGTCCGACGACAGTGTTGCAGTTTGCCGTCAGCAGATTCCTGTTCCAGGACACTGACCACGCTGGTCAATGCTTGCGGAAGGAAAGATGTCGTGAGGAGTCTGGCGGGGTCACACAACATCTCCCCCACACACCTCAGGCTGTGATCCACAGTATCCCATGTAACGTCGCTCCTGGATACAGTCAAGTCGCAGTCGTGTGAATAATGGGTCACCTTCTCCTCTCTAGCGCCAGATCTGTCAAGGTTGATGATGCTCTTCAGGAATGCCATGTCTGTACCGAGAGTTCCTCTTTGGACTAGCACGGAAGGATCTCTGTCACTGGCCTCTGATGAGGAAGGAGGGGTTGGGAAGATCGACTGGCTGTCAAACATGCTCTCCTCCCCTGCCATTTATATGAAAACAACATGTTGAGCACTCCCTGTAGACAAAGCTTTACCCTGTCTAACAATATTGTCATTGAGAAATTACATTTTGAATGATGTAATAAATAAATTATATCATAATTCATATGTATCAATGTACACTAACAAACAAGAATTATGCCCTAATAATGTGGATAGAGAGAGTCGAAGATGAGGAAATATAACGATTATGTTGAATAAGATCAGCACATATCTCAAAATTTGGAATAGTTCTGCAAAATATTATCCATGTGTACCTGTAATTTCTGAAGACAGCGACCCAGAGTGTGACATCAGCAATTGTTGTTTTAAATTTAAAATTTCCTCTTGGGCATTCGCCCATCTCTCCTGCCACTTGTGTTGTGAGGTCATGAACAAGGATGACAGATACTCTGTTTGTTCCTTGGCAGTTCTTGAAGGAGGCCTAGACCGGATAACAGCTAGTGCCACAGCGAGTTTAATCTGCTTTAGAAGGCTGAGATCTGAAATATGACAGTAACCTAATATCATAGACTTCAGGAGTATTCAAAACGATCTCAGCGATACGGCTCACATTGGTGGTCACAATGCCCAGTGAGTTCACAGGCACTCCATAGAAACAAGAAAGCTCGTTATAACCCCTCTACTGTGGTGGCCGAGAGGGGACATCCTATTATCAACTTGAATATAATATCTATTTCCACATTACGGTTTATTGAGAACAATATGTCATTCAAACACTAGAAATTACATAATGGACATCCATTAGCGTTACTATTGCTGGGGTGAGGACTTCCACTTTGATGAAATCTACTCCGCAAACAGAATAAACATTGATATAACCTCAGTGTTGTTTTTAGGAAGACACTGTTGTTTTAAGGAAGTACACTACTCAGCGCCAATAAGCGGTGTTATTTGATAACATTTGATTTGACTGTTCAACATTTGATAAATATTATGTTTCCAGATTTGTTTTCAGGTTTGCAGGTTTTATAGTTGTGTGTTCAAATCCTGGAAATGTTTTTTGTGTCTATCTTTAGAATACAGTACTACAAACTTTTCAAACACGTGACAATACCCTATAACGGAATTTGTAGTATTTATTTTGTTGCCATTAACACCGGCGAAACGTCATCGAGTGTACATAAGCTCCTCCCAGTGATCTATCATCTGTATACGCAATGTCATTAAATACGCCCAGCGATGTTGAGAGTTTTGAATATTTGTTTACTAAATATCGCCTGCGGCGGCGCATTTTATTGCAAGGGCTTGTTTATGAAAGCACTTTTATTTTCAATATAATTTTTACTTCGTTTTTTTTCGTAATTCAAGTGGCTAAAATGGTATACTAATATACATATATTATTTTTATTTTTCGGTTCATTGATTTTTATTATTATGCACAAGAATACAGTTTATTAGGTAATATCGGTATTATATTGGCGCTGAACACATCCAAATGTCGCCGCCTCCATCCTTAGCCCTTGGATCCCCTAATTTACGATCACGGATTCTCATAAAAAACCCAAGCCACCATTATTTCAATCATTAGCATCGCAAATCTGGATAAACTTAAATTATAGTATACACGTAACGACATTCAGTGATATTCAACGGTTTGGGGCCCTGAATCCAGTCGATCTATTTCATTATATTACACTTTCCCTCGTGTTATGGGTTTCGGACGCTAAACAACATTCATATTTTTCTCTCTATAATCACACGAACAACTGTAAATCATCTCATTCACTTATAAAAGACAACTTTCTCTTAAAGACAAGCCATCATCTGAGTATATAAACAACGTCTGTGTGATGTCACACCCCTCGTTATTGCGCGAGTAATCGCGATAAACATGGCCGTCCGAAAACGTATGATCAGACGACGCCTTTGAATTCTTGTCGTTTGGTCACGAGGAATTTAGGTTGAAATTGGCGGCTACTCCCTCACTCATGATATTAAACAAACCATACAGCACAGACGTCTAGACAAATCATTGACATTTACATATATCTAGTGCTCAATCTCAGGACGAGGTAAATCGAACAACGTACCATAGCCATCACTCTGACACAGCTCATCATTAGACCTAGTCGTACCTTCCGATTCTGTCGAGCGACACTTCACTCTTTGGATGCAGGAACGCGCTGTCATATTTGCGTTTACATATACATGCCCAATATCACTATAAACAGCAAGAAATATAGAAGATTTATGGTTTGAGCATGAAAATCCACAATGTTTCTGTCCAAGGGGAATAACTCACCTATTCCTTTGGTTGTCTCCCTTTCCGAAAGTTCACCATCCTCGCGGGGATACCCCGTTCGGGGAGCTCAGCACAGTAACCCCTTACTAACAGTGCCGTTACACACCCTAGGCAATACTTGCACGTTTTGTGTTTCATTCATATAGAAGTCTTTTAAGACTTAATAATTTAACATACTTCTGTGAGACACAAATACGTAAAATATGTAAAAATGTATCTTTCACAGAACAACCTTAGCTACGGTTAACCTAAAGGGCAGGCAGAGTGAAAACAATTAGACAATTTCCGAGTGAGAAAAATTCGTAAGATTCGTAGAAAGTATTTAAATGTCAAAGTGAAAGTGCTGACATCACACGCTCCGTAATCGGCTTCCAAAACAAATCATTTTGGGCGCGTGGCCCAAAGCTTCCAGCACAGCGCTGACAACTGTTTTCATTGGCTGTTTGCAGTGTTTATCTACTTGTGATTCTAAGCCGTTATACATAAATACTGTTTCTGCTATTTCTCTTAGTCCCACAAATATAACAACATTTCACACATTGTTGAATGTGAGAAACGACCTCTGATCTTGAAATTGTGAAAAATTAATTTTAAATAACAATTACCAATCCGTAACTAGCGTTTTATTACTAACATCATGTTTGGGTAATAAAGTACCGGCTGCCCTCGACCCTATTCCACGCAATACATGCATCTTCAGTGTTGTTACATAAGTTGTGTGGACACAGTAATCAAATGGATGAGCAAAAAAAAAAGACGTGAACTATTCAACTGGCACACTGGTCGTCTGCCCAATCGTCATGGTAATCGGAACCGTTTAATCCCAGTAAGGGGATTCCCCGCAACGGCGGAATTATTTCGTTTGGGAACGATTTTGACTGTCGTTTTTTATCGCCTGTTTTACGCTATTTCCGTTTCTCAAATTCAATCTTGCTCAAGCATTTGTGATCAAGCATGCCCTAAGGTATTAAAATCTGCAACGTTGCCATTTTGACTTTAAGAGTAGGAGATTTAGGATACGTGTCCCACCGCCGGTGGGTGGTGCTCATGAGAGTGCATGACAACTCGATCATAAATAGGCAAACAAGGCAGTTCATCAAAGGACAAGACGGTTAATCACACGACCTTTGCTTTCATCCGAGTATCAAGGTCTGGTCATTAGATATCTTCAAGTTGTAATTTAGAGTAAACTAATTCAGGGGACATTTGCTCTATCCCGCCGTGTTGCTGTCTTCTAGTTTAGCGTTTACAAGCTGAATCTGCGATGGAAAACACGAATCTATACACCTGTGGTAGTAGCCACAGCTACAAAACTGGTGTCGGAACAATGGGTATTTTACGACCACTTCACTTACTATAATGTACATCCACGCCTTACTGATCGAGAAGGATCGCCCTTCGCTCTTTGTGGCTGTGTTTGTATCACCGAGACTTTAGATATTTAAAAATGTTCTAACACTAAAAAGGGGGTTGTGCTTCTCGTCTGGTGCTCATTTTCAGTCCAGGTCAAGTAATTAGTGCCTTGTATGATACTGAAGCAATAAGGGTATAGTCATTAACTTTTCGATAGATATAGGCTGTATACAATTTTAGCAGACAATTAAAGTACTGTTGAAAAAACCCTGAACTAACCTACACCAACTGCCAATTTGACCAGGTCTAGTCTCGACAGACACGAAGTCGCAAGGTACTCGGCATATCTATGCCGATGTTTGAGTGAGTGAGTGATTATGCTTCATGCGCCTCTTTTAAAAGCAATAGTCTCATGACCGCGGGGGACACCAAGAATGGACTTCACACATTTTATTCATGTAGAGAATGGAACCTTGGCCCTCACCATCTCAACAAGTGCTTTAACCACCAAGCCTCCCCACGCCATCGATCGTATATTTTGAGGGATATTTTCTATGAAATTGTGTGATCAGTGTTCACTACAAAAAAATATCCCCCGGAATATACATAATCCCTAATTGTTTTTGTTCAGTATATGACATACATGTATTATTATTATAAACCCACTGCCAACCAAAAGACTAACCGTGTTTGATTTAGATAGTAAGGAAGCTTCAAATCAAAGTGAAGTGTTAATAATCTTTGTTGTTTTGAATACATCTTTCCAAAGCAAATCCAGTTTCCACCCTTGCCTAACCAGGCTGGAATTTCGGAGCAAGACTATATTTTAGCTGGACTAAACGGGTCTGTGCATAGTCCAATCAAAATCACGTATGGAAATCGACATCCTCTTCGCAAACAACATGGTGACTGCCCTGCAGATTTCGGTCGTCTGCAGGGTTTGCAAAACATGTGTACCGTCAAATGGGCGTCGACAGATATTTTCAAATCTTTCATGTTTGTAATCAACGTGCTCAAGTGTTGTGCTTACAATCCACATGCACTGGCTGTCTGGTCTGGAAAAGTGAAACTTTTCTTCGATTAACTTGATCAGATTGACTGGGCGCCACCATTTGAAGCAATTGTAAGTATATATGAGGTGGAATCTGATTGGTCAATAGGAGGGACATCTAAGGAACATAACTCATAATAGCCACTGGTGGCGCTACGATCGAGCCACGAAATTCCAGCTTCGTTCGGCAAGGGTTGAAACTGGACTTGTATAGTCAGTTAACGCCCTTGCCTCGGAAAGATGTTTTGAATATCGTCTTTGTCAGTTTAATATCCCTTGGCGTGATTGTAGATCAATATACACTGGCCAAATTCATGCATAGTCAACAATACTTAATGTCTCAACAGGTCATTACGATGATTATCAAGTATATTGCAAAACAATTTAGGCTGGAGATCCTGACTTGGCATTTGGATGAGCAGGCATATAACTGGGAATATGCCGAAGACCCAGTGTATATTGTCCTTCATAAAAAAATAGTACGAGTGATATTGGTATCTTTTTCATGTTGCTCGTTAACAGGCCATTAAAAGCCGGAAAATCTCGTAACGACAAGATTCATATGAGATTACCTAGAAGCCCTTCTTCATCGTGGCCACAAACCGGATTTAACGTTAAAATCCTTCGCATGTAAGTTTTATCCAGTTTTCGCAGGTAGTTTGTATATCTCTAACAATAAGTCTCTAAAAGCCCTCTAATATAGAGATAGAGGACAAGACAAGTGGCAAATCTGCGCATTTAACACTCGGATCTCCAAAAGTGTGTGCTATGTCAAACGACCATGTGGATGGTCCGGACATGGGTGACTCAGGTCTATCATCTCGATGTGACCTGACCCAACATCTGTCCATGGAAGAGTCACAACTTCTCAAGCTGCTTCAGGATCAATTAGTTGCTGATTACGTCAGACCATTGGGTTCTCAAAACTTTAAACTGGTTCTGATTTCCGCTGATTTCAATTCCAAAACTTTCTGTAAAAGTGCATTTGGCATTGGACGGGGAGGTTCAGACCATGTTGGACAAAAGTGTGGAAGAGGAGGGCCTAGAAAAGAACACATGGACACAGTTTGTGATTTCGATGGTCATCGTTCTGAAGAGGGATGGTGGCTACAAATCAATTATCAATCTGAAGCCACTGAATGCATGCACTTCTTGTCAGCACTAAAGGACCTGATAAGACGAAACGACTTTAGTGAAAGTTGGATCAGAGGAATGCTTCTTTTACCATCTCCATTGCAACAGATCTCAAGAGCTTAATACTCTTCAGGTGGAAGACCTCTCTCTCTTCCAAGTTTGAAAGCCCTCTTTTAAGGCTGGTGCCAGCTCCTTGGGGTTTCACCAAGCTGCTGTGGCCAGTCGCATGTCTCCTGAGACGGGTGGGGATAAGGTTTGTTATCCCCTGGGACGATATTCTCTGCTCTGCGGAACCGACAGTGCTGTTAATTCGTGACAGGGGCTCCATTCTGTACTCGCTGATGAACCTGGGCTTTGTCATAAACTGTACTAAGCCTCACAACATATAACCTTTCTCAGTTTCAAGATCAACTCACAGACTCTCAATTTCAGTTTACCAGAAGAGAAAGAAAGGAAAGGAAAGATGGTGTCTATTCGCCAACTCGCCAGTCCACTAGGCAAAATGCCTGCCACCAGACCGGTAATCCCTGCTCAGCTTCACTGCAGGTACATACAGATGCAAGCGTTTCAGGAATGCAAGACAGATGCGTCCATCCTGGGCTGGGGAGTGGTCTGCCCACAAAAAACGCACAAGAGGATGTTGTTCCCAGGACGAGAGCAAACTTCACATAAACACTCTGGAGCTAAAGGCAGTTTGGCTTGGCCTCGCTTTCTGCAAGACTCTCTGTTGCAAGAACATAGAGGTACAGATAGAGAACCAAACGTGAACTACCAAGGGGGTACACGTTCGGCTACCCTCCTGGTGATAGCCAAACAAATCTGTGAGATTGTCTGAATCTGTGTACTATCTCCCGGAAGTGGAGAACATACAGGCAGACTGGGAATCCAGACACTGCCTGGATGGCAGCGACTCGATGCTACACAGCTCTCTGTTCAGTAAACGGACCTATTTGCATCTCGTTTGACTCATCAGATGAAACAGTTCTGAAGATGGAGTCTTTCCAGATATAAGGGCAAAGGGGGGAAATGCGTACCCTAGTCCCTCTGTCAGAGGGTACGCATTTCCCCCCTTTGTCCTTATAGTGAAGTGACTTTGGAAAGTTCGGATCAAGGATAGTGATTGTCACACCTATGTGGCAGAGCCAACTATGGTTTCCCCTGTCGGTGGATATCCCAATCTTACTTCCCTCTACAGCAGATCTGCTGATGTCGCCTCAACTCTAGGACTGGTTCGCCCATTAGTTCAAAATCAGTGTAAGGTTAGCCGCTTGGGAGGTTTCAGGATGGGAGTCTGAACGGGAGGCTTTTAAGAGGCATCTGTTGGGCTCTTTTCATGTCAGTGGAGATGTGGTACTCAAGGGGCTTACAATATGGTCAGGAGTAGGTGGTCTCGCCGGTGCAGTCGGGAGACATTGATCCCTTTTCAGCCACTCTGGAGGCCAT